AATGAAAGATTGTGTGATAATATATGAACCTTTAGTCAAAATATCAAATGGCAATCTGAACGACGACAAAAGGCAAAAATGGCTTGCCACGGAACGTGTTAAACAAGGATAAATTAAATCCTCCGCTCGAGGAGGGCTTTCGTCGCTTTGGTTAGATATCCACGGAAATGTATTCTTATTCTTAGTCTCTTTAAATCGGGGAAATTTTGTTCCTTTAAACGACGCGAACTGGTCGTATTTGAATATTCCTAACGATGAGTATTATAATAACAAAATGCAAAAGAAAATCATGTATTTAGAAGTGTATTTTGTATTTTTTTACAGAACAGTACTTTTATTTGTGTAATAAACACATGAATAATTCTATTTCTTTTCGTCTTCTCTCAGTCTTGTAATAATTTACGAAATGAATGTAAAATTGGAACATATATCATTTAATTTGCTCCTCCGACTCGTTCAGATATCATTTAACTTGAAGTGAGTAGTCAAGATTGTAGCGAAATTGTGATATAACTTGATATAATTAATATTATAATATAACTTAACATAAGTAAATAAAACTCATGCTAACTAGTGATTTTTATCTGTTATTCATTTATCTTATACTATTCTTAGGGAACAAGAGATACAATTAAATGTTCGATTCCATTAGATTGGTTTGATCCTGATCCGATGAATTATTACGTGTTTGCGCATTACACATTTTCTCAGAGTAAAGTAATATACGACAGTTTGATTAATTGTTTCTAGATATTGCAATCATTGGCCATGACTTTTTTATTAGTCATAAAACTATATGGACGTAGGGCGTATATCAGCGACAATATATCTATCGAGGTAAAGCCTCGCGCTACGAACACAGTACAAAGCGAAAGATGACGGTAATATCGGTGACGATTATTAAATGCATTTCGATTACCTTTCAACAATTAAATCGCAGTGGTAACGTTCGACTCACCGATATTCGACGCATTTACTTGAAACGATATAACTCGAGTATTATGTTTGTACAAAATTATAATGTTACGATGGAGCGTTCGAGAGTCAGCCGAGATCTACATTGGCACGTTTTCTTTCCTATTTGCAGCTAGATGCGAAGAAGAGTCCGCTGGCGCTGCTCGCTCAAACCTGTAGCCAGATAGGAGCCGACACACCGTCCAATAAATCACTGCTGGCTTCGTTGGACAAAGGTTCGGGCAACAAATCGACGTCCAAGTCGACGGATCAATCGCGGGAAAAATCGTCGCCGGCGGTCGCGGTCACGTCCTCCGCGTCGGAGTCGTCGACCAAGACCACGTTCAAGCCGTACGAGTCCTGTTTGGCCCGTGAGAAAGCCTCGAGCCCGGACGAGCAACGATCGGCATCTAGCCACTCGACGTCCGGTCGATCGAGGACACCTGGTAGCAACAACAAACGATGCTCCAGCAATCAGAGCGCCGCCTCGTCGGTTCGGACGGTGACGCCGCAGGGGCGGAAAACGGCGACGCCGAACGGCGACGCGGCACGAGAATCACCCGGCTGCAGAATATCCGCGGCGAATCTGTCGTCGGGTCAGCTCGACTCGTCGACGAGCTCGTCTCAACCGGCGGTGGTCAGTAGTCCGTCGTTACAAGCGAAACAACAGGCTTCTTACAGTCCGGCCGGTGTCCTAGCGATGACAGACCCGTCCATCAAGGATCTCCCGTTGGGTACTTTCAAGCCAGGTGTCAGTCTAGCCACGTCGAGCTCTGGTTATTTAGGCTACACGCCGCCGCAGATACCTATCGATGTAACAGCCAGTTCTTTAATGTCGCAGCAGGCCGCGTTGAAGAATAGCCTGGTGGCCGGCAATCCCTATCTGAGTTACGCGAGGCTCAAGAGCTCCACCGACGCTTTAATGCCCGTCTGCAGGGACCCGTACTGCACCGGTTGCCAGTTGAATTCTCATCTGCTGGCCCATTCAGCGAACGGCAAGTTGACGAGCAGCGGCACCACCGCCGGTGCCGCTTCCTGTCCGGCCGGCTGTACCCAGTGCGATCACAAATCTCAGCCGCCCGGGTCAGCAGTTTACGGAGCGTTGGGTGTAGCCGCGTACGCGCACGCACAACTGGCTGCCTTGGCAGCGGCCTCGCAGCTTCCTTACGTGTGCAACTGGATAGCAAGCGACACGGCATACTGCGGCAAGAGGTTCTCCACGTCGGACGAGCTGCTGCAACATTTGAGAAGCCACACCAGCGTGTCGAACGGCAGCGGTGTCGCGGACCCATCGGCGGCCGCGTTGTCCCTCTTGTCGCCGTCCGCTGTTGGACTACCGCCCACGCATCCTTTGTTCTCCAGGACTTATCCCACGCCACCCTTGAGCCCGCTGGCAACCGCGCGTTATCACCCTTACGGGAAACCTTCGCCGTTGCTGCCACCGCCTTTATCGTCGTTGGGTTTACCGCTGCCGCCGCCGCATCCGCACGCCGCATTACCAGCGTATTTCTCCCCATACTCGCTGTACGGAACTCCTCGCCTTGGTGCTGCATCCGGCTTGCCTCAATGAGTTCTCCACCGTGCTCGACGTGGACGTTGTCGACCGAACGCGTTGAAGGATATCAATCGTTTAACTGTGATCCATACTGTGCGAGTATAGAGAAAAGTGTTTGATACGCAACTATGAAGAAAGAGGAAGAGGATGAGGAGAAGGAGGAGGAGGAGGAGGAGGAGGATACAGGACTGAGATCTCACTTAAGTAACCTCGCAACTACGTTTCCGACGTAGAGATTAAGTTACTCCGACTTTCTCTCATCATCGTTTCGATATCGTAGAAAATTTCCCCTCTCCTTCTTCACTTTCTCTTACCCTCTCGTCTCGTTTTACCTTCATCTTCATCAGTTGGTTGAAACTGAAATCCTTTTTTTTTTTTTTTTTTTTTTTTTTTAATTTATTTGATGTTTCATTAGTCAGACGGAAGACACTGAAGACCACGCGAACGTGTTTATCGAGAGAGATGTATCATTTGGTGTCATCATTTCAGATAGCCGTAAGAAAGTGCAGAAAAGATTGGAATTATTATAGTGTACTAATCGTTTAACTGTGATTCTCGTGCAAGGATGATGGAGCATATAGCGAAGGGGAGCAAATCTGAAACTAACGTGTGCCTGAAAGAACTACTTAATGGCTGCTGCGTAATTATTGACTATCGAAGCGCGTTCGACTGGCTGTTGTGTATCACGATTTGTTACGATCTCCTTCCCTCTCCCGCAGGTACTTGATCCTAACACCAGTGTTCACTTGTTTCTGCTTACGTTTGAAGAATATCACCCGCTTTTTCTCTCGTATTTTTGACGCGACGTTCGAACAATTCACATGCGCGCAATTCGACCACACGCTTTCCGTTTATCGCATCACTTCCTTCTCTACGTCACGCTGTCGATGAATTTTCGTTCTCCGATAGCACGATGATTTCCGATTAAAAATCATTTCTCGTCGCCGCACCGAGCCGAAATATATATATAGATATATTTCTAGCCTGCACGGTGGCCCGTTCGCACGCCCTTTAATTTCGAAAAAAAAAAGCAAAAAACACGAAACAAACGAGTGCCACGGGTCGAAAAAGAAAAAAAAAAAACCAATGTTCAACTGTGATTTCCGAGTGAGAAAGCTACCACGTTGCATGAGTGAGATACCGCTGCGCTTCCGCTACAGATATGTGTGTATACATGGTTCTAGAATTTATCGGTAACATACGCGATCGTGGATCTTCAATTCGAGCTATGTGACTATCGACAGACGTATATATTATTTTTTAATATCGGAACCACCTGTCGCGGATCTTAACGTCAACGAGACGGCATTTCTTTTTGTCTTTCGTGCTCCCTATCTCACGCGTATGCAAATCCGGATCTCAGTTTTGTCCGATTTTTCTTTATACCGTTTGAAAGTCTCACGGCAAAAATATCGCATTCATTCTCAAAATTGGAAGAATTCTTGTTCTAGATCTTATTTCAAGAATCTGCGAGATATTTCAATGCGTTAACAATTGTACATGTAAAACACACCTGCAACGTAAAGATCTTATTGCCTGCGATAAGTATTGAATTTTAAAAGGATAAAAAAAAAAATAAACCTAACCTAAGACTTTTGAACGGTAGTGTATAACCAACAAACGTGCGAAGTTTCGACAACTATTAAAAACAGAGGAATCTCGATCTCGATCAAGATGGCGTTTCCTATATGCGGTTATTTCGACATATAGACATGGAGAAACAATAATGTGCTTCAATCGACAAAATCTCTATCGCGCTAAAAATCATTCGGCTATTCGATATTCCCTATTAATCATTTTTCAATATTTATTAATCTTCTTTGTTGATTTGTTATCGTGTTTGAAGCGATTTTAGAAAAGTTGTAAACAGTAATAATAGAAGACAAAGATGTAAATGTTTCATGTAATCAGAGAAAGTCCCTAGGAGTATCAGGCGCAAGCGCGTGAGATAAACACACGACGCATGCGCATTAGACACGTGCGCTTTAAACGCATGCGCGTCTCATTTCAAAATCGCTCATGGAAAAAAACAGGAGCGTGCTTCGTTTTCAATTAAAAATCTCCGACGCACGTGTAATCGAAATATATCGACGATTATAGGAAATCCCGTCTTTAGAGTGACAGATATAAACACAATGTCTCGGCCATATGTAAGATCGTGGATCCATGAACGCAGATGATCTTGAATTCCTCGATAGATGGTTTAGTACACGTTCAAATCCACGACATCTAGTATTTACCTGTCGAACATAATCGTCGGAAGAGATTGTAACGTTGAAACATAGATTGGAAATGTTGAGACATTTCAACTTGGAGAATAGTACAAAATCTCGTTGAATTTGAACGTAAATTCGGTGTTACCGTGCTTTTCTGGTCGAAAGTAACTAGAAGACTCTGGTCGATCGCGATGTTCCAATTGTACGGTGTCCTCCATTATTACGATACATTTGAATATAACGTTAACGAGTCTGTGTGTAGTGTTTCTGAATTAGTATTCATCACCTAACCTCTATTGTAACTATTGTACATTTGTTCATAGATGGCGTATGACGACGAGTGAGAGGGGAAGGAGGAGAGAAATACATGCATACTTGGTCTTTTTCGACCGAGCGACGAAACTGATAGTGATAGTAGACGCGTGTGAACGTTATAAATACAACAATCCTTGATTAGCTAACGAACAATTGCGTCTATATTTTTGCGTAACCAAAGTTTTTAGTAATCGATCGATAATAATTTGCATAGTGTTGCAGATTCGTGTATAACGAAAAGTTACATACTCGAAGAAAAGCAAAATGTATGACGAGTTATTTAGTTGCAAATAGATTTATTTTCTTCTACGGATACTACGTACAGTAACTGCACGCAAATATTCGGAGACTAAATTTTCGAGTGTTCGTCACGTGACAAATAGAAAAGTGAAGGCACTTCTTTCTCGATCGAAGGATTCTTCTCACGAATTACAATTATGTATGAATTTCAATTTCTCAGAAATCGAAAATTTACTGTCCGCATATTTATGCAAATAACAAATAACGTACGTACGTATACGTGCACATATATGTATTTATTTATGTATGTACATATACATAGACATACGTGTGTAGACACGTAATTACTATTATTATTATTGATTGTAATTGTTATCATTATGATGGAGAATATTTTGAATTCTTCTGAAGAAAGTTTCGACTAGAAGGAAACGTATTTTGTTAAACATGTAACAGTTCATTTGTTCATTTTTGTCGAAATCTTTGTCAACTTGAAGCTGAGAGCACACGTTGATTTGTTGATCCTGTTGTTGTTGTCTCGCATTACGATAACGTGTGTTTGAAATAAGTTAGAATTTATTTATTTCTTGATGTTCGCTTTCGTCATTGATTGATCATTAGCTGATGATAACGAGATTTGTAAAATCGAAATACAATTTACGTTTTTAAAAACGAAACTGTGAAATGCAATTTAAATGTAATCCTAAAATAGATTCCAGATTCGTCTTGGTAATAGTATCAGATTCAACGTACGCTTAATAACATTTTTTTCACTTGGCACAATTAGTGTGAAAAGTGATGACCTTGGTCTTTTCACAAATGTTATTCGTCGAGTAACATTCGAATTTGGGTTCCTTTTTTTATGCTACAATAAAAGATTAGATTTTAAATATTCCACGAAAATAATATTTTGATATATTAATTGTTAGCTGAAATAAAAATTAGTCACATGCTAATTGAACTAAAATTATTCTATGTTTTTGTTTCCTTTCTTTTTTTTTTTTTGTTTTTTCTTTCTTTCTTTTATTAGTTAAGTACTGATTTCAGATTATTAATATTTTTAAATGTAACATATGTTAGAATAGCTTTTTTTTTTTTAAATTTGTATGTTTTCTTTTAAAATAAATTTTATAACATTACGTGATATTTGTAATAATTAATTATAGTTTATTTCGGATATTTCTTGTATCATACGTTCGTTGTAAAAATTGAAGTAGAAGGAAATTATGTAAGTATTTTGTATCGTTGCCAAATTTTAAATTACCATGTAACTTTGTAGGAAATACGAGCTATATCTCAGGGACTGCATGTTTATCAATCTTTTTATTAGGAATACATTATAATATAATTTCCAACTGTATAAAATGAAGACATTGTAAAATATTACCTTATACTAACCTGTAAAATTATATTGTTAATATAATAATATTACTTATTATATCATAATAATACTAATATTTGTCGTTAAACTAAATATTATTTATTCTCTATGGAAATAAAAAAAATATTTAATATAAATACATAATAATTTCTAATTATTTTATGAGAAACGAGAATTCTGCAAGAGTAATAAATTTCTTTTTAGTTTAAATGACGCTCTTTTGTTTTAAGTTAATATCTAATTGTATAGGAATAAGTTTTCAAACAACTGGAATCTTATATCTCATTTTACTCAGTTTATAAATGTTGCAATTATTCATCTCCGAAATAATTATTTCCACGAATAGAAAATCAATCTTCCAAACGGTAGAATGAACTATATTTGTAGTATTGAAAAGTGCAAGTCCGAATTATTTATTAATTAATACATAATATTTCCTGAGTTTCTACATACAATTTCACAAGTAAAATAAAATCATTCAGAATTTCGTAATTGAAAATGTTTCTTAAACAAATTTATTACGAGTTTGAAGCAAATTCGATGTGATCTGTATTTTACGTCGATCATTTTATTACGAAAATTATCAATTATCAATAGTCGGTGGAAAATTTTAACTGCAACAACAATTGCAAAATACAAAGTTAAATTCGGGGAGTGTGGAATTTGATGAATATTTATTTCCAAGAAAGCTATAGACATTGAAACTTTATTAGCATTACAAATCCCGCCGAAAGAGATAATGTGAAATGGATTGTAAAGTGTGAAGAAATTTAGAAATAAACGTAACAGTTGTGATCGCCATTGCGATGAGATTTTCGAAGTAGAAAGAAGAGGTTCTCACAGTAAATCGTGAAGAATTACGA